GAACCTATCTAGAAGTTTGGGGCTTTTTACCCGTGAATCTTCACTTTACGACTAAACTATCCACAGCAGTGCCAAATTTTCTGGGTCACTGAATGCGGGTGCCAGCGCCCTACAAGCAAACCAAAAATGAAACCAATGCGACCACTGAAATTACAGCTGGGTCATGTTATAGAGAGGTACGTTGAAATTGAAAGGTCAGCACAAATGGTCAAAATCCGACATTTTCTCACCTTTCTGCCCGTCCGCAGCTCAGAAAATGACAATGACCATCCTCATCTCGTTGTGTAGCTGGACCTAGACAAGAGCACGAAGAAAAAGACCCACATTTCTCTAAAGAACTCACCCAGGGCTGCTGAAAGCTGAAAAAGAACCTATCTAGAAGTTTGGGGCTTTTTACCCGTGAATCTTCACTTTGCGACTAAACTATTCACAGCAGTGCCAAATTTTCTGGGTCACTGAATGTGGGTGCCAGCGCCCTACAAGCAAACCAAAAATCAAACCAATGCGACCACTGAAATTACAGCTGGGTCATGTTATAGAGAGGTACGTTGAAATTGAAAGGTCAGCACAAATGGTCAAAATCCGACATTTTCTCACCTTTCTGCCTGTTGGCAGCTCAGAAAATGACAATGACCATCCTCATCTCGTTGTGTAGCTGGACATAGAAAATAGCACCATGAAAAAGAGCCACATTTCTCTAAAGAACTCACCCAGGGCTGCTGAAAGCTGAAAAAGAACCTATCTAGAAGTTTGGGGCTTTTTACCCGTGAATCTTCACTTTGCGACTAAACTATCCCCAGGAGTGCCAAATTTTCTGGGTCACTGAATGCGGGTGCCAGCGCCCTACAAGGAAACCAAAAATCAAACCTATGCGACCACTGAAATTGCAGCTGGGTCATGTTATAGAGAGGTACGTTGAAATTGAAAGGTCAGCACAAATGGTCAAAATCCGACATTTTCTCACCTTTCTGCCCGTCCGCAGCTCAGAAAATGACAATGACCATCCTCATCTCGTTGTGTAGCTGGACATAGACAAGAGCACGAAGAAATGGACCCACATTTCTCTAAAGAACTCACCCAGGGCTGCTGAAAGCTGAAAAAGAACCTATCTAGAAGTTTGGGGCTTTTTACCCGTGAATCTTCACTTTGCGACTAAACTATTCACAGCAGTGCCAAATTTTCTGGGTCACTGAATGCGGGTGCCAGCGCCCTACAAGCAAACCAAAAATCAAACCAATGCGACCACTGAAATTACAGCTGGGTCATGTTATAGAGAGGTACGTTGAAATTGAAAGGTCAGCACAAATGGTCAAAATGCGACATTTTCTCACCTTTCTGCCCGTTCGCAGCTCAGAAAATGACAATGACCATCCTCATCTCGTTGTGTAGCTGGACATAGAAAATAGCACCATGAAAAAGAGCCACATTTCTCTAAAGAACTCACCCAGGGCTGCTGAAAGCTGAAAAAGAACGTATCTAGAAGTTTGGTGCTTTTTACCCGTGAATCTTCACTTTGCGACTAAACTATCCACAGCAGTGCCAAATTTTTCTGGGTCACTGAATGCGGGTGCCAGCGCCCTACAAGCACACCAAAAATGAAACCAATGCGACCACTGAAATTGCAGCTGGGTCATGTTATAGAGAGGTACGTTGAAATTGAAAGGTCAGCACAAATGGTCAAAATCCGACATTTTCTCACCTTTCTGCCCGTTCGCAGCTCAGAAAATGACAATGACCATCCTCATCTCGTTGTGTAGCTGGACATAGAAAATAGCACCATGAAAAAGACCCACATTTCTCTAAAGAACTCGCCCAGGGCTGCTGAAAGCTGAAAAAGAACCTATCTAGAAGTTTGGGGCTTTTTACCCGTGAATCTTCACTTTACGACTAAACTATCCACAGCAGTGCCAAATTTTCTGGGTCACTGAATGCGGGTGCCAGCGCCCTACAAGCAAACCAAAAATGAAACCAATGCGACCACTGAAATTACAGCTGGGTCATGTTATAGAGAGGTACGTTGAAATTGAAAGGTCAGCACAAATGGTCAAAATCCGACATTTTCTCACCTTTCTGCCCGTTCGCAGCTCAGAAAATGACAATGACCATCCTCATCTCGTTGTGTAGCTGGACATAGACAAGAACACCAAGAAAAAGACACACATTTCTCTAAAGAACTCGCCCAGGGCTGCTGAAAGCTGAAAAAGAACCTATCTTGAAGTTTGGGGCTTTTACCCGTGAATCTTCACTTTGCGACTAAACTATTCACAGCAGTGCCAACTTTTCTGGGTCACTGAATGCGGGTGCCAGCGCCCTACAAGCAAACCAAAAATCAAACCAATGCGACCACTGAAATTACAGCTGGGTCATGTTATAGAGAGGTACGTTGAAATTGAAAGGTCAGCACAAATGGTCAAAATCCGACATTTTCTCACCTTTCTGCCCGTTCGCAGCTCAGAAAATGACAATGACCATCCTCATCTCGTTGTGTAGCTGGACATAGAAAATAGCACCATGAAAAAGACCCACATTTCTCTAAAGAACTCACCCAGGGCTGCTGAAAGCTGAAAAAGAACTTATCTAGAAGTTTGGGCTTTTTACCCGTGAATCTTCACTTTGCGACTAAACTATCCACCGCAGCGCCAAATTTTCCGGGTCACTGAATGCGGGTGCGAGCGCCCTACAAGCATACCAAAAATGAAACCAATGCGACCACTGAAATTGCAGCTGGGTCATGTTATAGAGAGGTACGTTGAAATTGAAAGGTCAGCACAAATGGTCAAAATCCGACATTTTCTCACCTTTCTGCCCGTTCGCAGCTCAGAAAATGACAATGACCATCCTCATCTCGTTGTGTTGCTGGACATAGAAAATAGCACCATGAAAAAGAGCCACATTTCTCTAAAGAACTCACCCAGGGCTGCTGAAAGCTGAAAAAGAACTTATCTAGAAGTTTGGGGCTTTTTACCCGTGAATCTTCACTTTGCGACTAAACTATCCACAGCAGTGCCAAATTTTCTGGGTCACTGAATGCGGGTGCCAGCGCCCTACAAGCACACCAAAAATGAAACCAATGCGACCACTGAAATTGCAGCTGGGTCATGTTATAGAGAGGTACGTTGAAATTGAAAGGTCAGCACAAATGGTCAAAATCCGACATTTTCTCACCTTTCTGCCCGTTCGTAGCTCAGAAAATGACAATGACCATCCTCATCTCGTTGTGTAGCTGGACATAGAAAATAGCACCATGAAAAAGAGCCACATTTCTCTAAAGGACTCACCCAGGGCTGCTGAAAGCTGAAAAAGAACCTATGTAGAAGTTTGGGGCTTTTTACCCGTGAATCTTCACTTTGCGACTAAACTATCCACAGCAGTGCCAAATTTTCTGGGTCACTGAATGCGGGTGCCAGCGCCCTACAAGCAAACCAAAAATGAAACCAATGCGACCACTGAAATTACAGCTGGGTCATGTTATAGAGAGGTACGTTGAAATTGAAAGGTCAGCACAAATGGTCAAAATCCGACATTTTCTCACCTTTCTGCCCGTTCGCAGCTCAGAAAATGACAATGACCATCCTCATCTCGTTGTGTAGCTGGACATAGACAAGAACACCAAGAAAAAGACCCACATTTCTCTAAAGAACTCACCCAGGGCTGCTGAAAGCTGAAAAAGAACTTATCTAGAAGTTTGGGGCTTTTTACCCGTGAATCTTCACTTTGCGACTAAACTATCCACAGCAGTGCCAAATTTTCTGGGTCACTGAATGCGGGTGCCAGCGCCCTACAAGCACACCAAAAATGAAACCAATGCGACCACTGAAATTGCAGCTGGGTCATGTTATAGAGAGGTACATTGAAATTGAAAGGTCAGCACAAATGGTCAAAATCCGACATTTTCTCACCTTTCTGCCCGTTCGTAGCTCAGAAAATGACAATGACCATCCTCATCTCGTTGTGTAGCTGGACATAGAAAATAGCACCATGAAAAAGAGCCACATTTCTCTAAAGGACTCACCCAGGGCTGCTGAAAGCTGAAAAAGAACCTATGTAGAAGTTTGGGGCTTTTTACCCGTGAATCTTCACTTTGCGACTAAACTATCCACAGCAGTGCCAACTTTTCTGGGTCACTGAATGCGGGTGCCAGCGCCCTACAAGCAAACCAAAAATGAAACCAATGCGACCACTGAAATTACAGCTGGGTCATGTTATAGAGAGGTACGTTGAAATTGAAAGGTCAGCACAAATGGTCAAAATCTGACATTTTCTCACCTTTCTGCCCGTTCGCAGCTCAGAAAATGACAATGACCATCCTCATCTCGTTGTGTAGCTGGACATAGACAAGAACACCAAGAAAAAGACCCACATTTCTCTAAAGAACTCACCCAGGGCTGCTGAAAGCTGAAAAAGAACTTATCTAGAAGTTTGGGGCTTTTTACCCGTGAATCTTCAATTTGCGACTAAACTATCCACCGCAGCGCCAAATTTTCTGGGTCACTGAATGCGGGTGCCAGCGCCCTACAAGCATACCAAAAATGAAACCAATGCGACCACTGAAATTGCAGCTGGGTCATGTTATAGAGAGGTACGTTGAAATTGAAAGGTCAGCACAAATGGTCAAAATCCGACATTTTCTCACCTTTCTGCCCGTTCGCAGCTCAGAAAATGACAATGACCATCCTCATCTCGTTGTGTAGCTGGACATAGAAAATAGCACCATGAAAAAGAGCCACATTTCTCTAAAGAACTCACCCAGGGCTGCTGAAAGCTGAAAAAGAACCTATCTAGAAGTTTGGGGCTTTTTACCCGTGAATCTTCACTTTGCGACTAAACTATTCACAGCAGTGCCAAATTTTCTGGGTCACTGAATGCGGGTGCCAGCGCCCTACAAGCAAACCAAAAATGAAACCAATGCGACCACTGAAATTACAGCTGGGTCATGTTATAGAGAGGTACGTTGAAATTGAAAGGTCAGCACAAATGGTCAAAATCCGACATTTTCTCACCTTTCTGCCCGTTCGCAGCTTAGAAAATGACATTGACCATCCTCATCTCGTTGGTTAGCTGGACATAGACAAGAGCACCAAGAAAAGAGCCACATTTCTCTAAAGAACTCGCCCAGGGCTGCTGAAAGCTGAAAAAGAACCTATCTAGAAGTTTGGGGCTTTTTACCCGTGAATCTTCACTTTGCGAATAAACTATTCACAGGAGTGCCAAATTTTCTGGGTCACTGAATGCGGGTGCCAGCGCCCTACAAGCAAACCAAAAATCAAACCAATGCGACCACTGAAATTACAGCTGGGTCATGTTATAGAGAGGTACGTTGAAATTGAAAGGTCAGCACAAATGGTCAAAATCCGACATTTTCTCACCTTTCTGCCCGTTCGCAGCTCAGAAAATGACAATGACCTTCCTCATCTCGTTGTGTAGCTGGACATGGAAAATAGCACCATGAAAAAGGGCCACATTTCTCTAAAGAACTCACCCAGGGCTGCTGAAAGCTTAAAAAGAACCTATCTAGAAGTTTGGGGCTTTTTACCCGTGAATCTTCACTTTGCGACTAAACTATTCACAGCAGTGCCAAATTTTCCGGGTCACTGAATGCGGGTGCCAGCGCCCTACAAGCAAACCAAAAATGAAACCAATGTGACCACTGAAATTACAGCTGGGTCATGTTATAGAGAGGTACGTTGAAATTGAAAGGTCAGCACAAATGGTCAAAATCCGACATTTTCTCACCTTTCTGCCCGTTCGCAGCTCAGAAAATGACAATGACCATCCTCATCTCGTTGTGTAGCTGGACATAGACAAGAGCACCAAGAAAAAGACCCACATTTCTCTAAAGAACTCGCCCAGGGCTGCTGAAAGCTGAAAAAGAACCTATCTAGAAGTTTGGGGCTTTTTACCCGTGAATCTTCACTTTGCGACTAAACTATTCACAGCAGTGCCAAATGTTCTGGGTCACCGAATGTGGGTGCCAGCGCCCTACAATCGAACCAAAAATCAAATTAATGCAACCTCTGACATTACAGCTGGGTCATATTATAGAGAGGTACATTGAAATTGAAAGGTCAGCATAAATGGTCAAAATCTGACATTTTCTCACCTTTCTGGCCGTTCACAGCTCAGAAAATGACAATAACCATCCTCATCTCGTTGTGTAGCTGGACATAGACAAGTGCACCAAGAAAAACAGCCACATTTCTCTAAAGAACTCGCCCAGGGCTGCTGAAAGCTGAAAAAGAACCTATCTAGAAGTCTGGGTCTTTTTCAACCCGTGAATCTTCACTTTGCGACTAAACTATTCACAGCAGTGCCAAATTTTCTGGGTCACTGAATGTGGGTGCCAGCGCACTACAAGCAAACCAAAAATCAAATGAACTATGAGGTCTATAATCTATTTATCATATACTCCACGCAAGGTTTCTCTTCATATGCGACATATCCTTGTAATTTTATTATAGTTGAGAATCAACTCGTAAAAACTCCAAGTCAATCTCCCATTGACACAAACCTCGTTTATTCAACATAATCATATCCTAACTTTGAAGTTGCGACTTCGGCAGTAATAGTCATGAAGTTGGTTGCTCCAACGAGGAGCACACGCTTCTTGCCGAACTTGACACTTGACTGACTCACGACTGCCATCCGGAGCACACGAGGAGCACGTCGCACATTCCGCTCGGCAAACCTGAAAGAAAGCACCACTCCCTGCTCAATACAATCTTCCTCAGCCTACTCAAGCTCAACTGATGAGGGGTGAATTCCCCGAAACACTGTGTATTGAGCAGGGAGTGGTGCTTTCTTTCAGGTTTGCCGAGCGGAAGGTGCGACGTGCTCCTCGTGTGCTCCGGATGGCAGTCATGAGTCAGTCAAGTGTCAAGTTCGGCAAGAAGTGTGTGCTCCTCGTTGGAGCAACCAACTTCATAATCATATCCTATCCAATAAAAACAGTTCATAAAAACAGCTTTTTAGGATCGGACCCAGTCCGCATAACCAAGAGAGCTAGCTCCCTTGGCTGCTGTTGGAATATGCAAGAATGGGCCTTCCAGATAAGGTCTAAGGCCACACGTTTTTATATCAGATATAAAAACGTGTGGCCTTAGACCTTATCTATTCTATGTTTCTCGTCACCCGCGCGCATACGATTCAGGAGTCTGGAGGAAAAAAAGAAAAAAAAATGGGCTGCACTGACTGTGCATGTGGGGACCAGCACACTCATGCACATGTACATAATGTGGCCTGGGCTGTTCGACACATGATGCGAGGTCACCAATTATTGTGCGCAATCTAGCTGCACGTGCACAGATTGTGACAGAAGCTCCTACCACATACTAGCAAGAGTCCATATGCACTCTTGATACTAGTTGCTAACTATGGATCCGGATGCTATTTTGCATGGTGTATTGGTGGATTTTAGTGTGAACAAAGGTCTAATAAACTTTTTGTATTTTTCGGTCATTTTTTATTTTTTTCCACCTCTCGCCTACGTTTTTAGATTTTCAGGTGACGAGAAACATAGAAATAAAAACGTGTGGCCTAACAAGGAGAAGTGGCTATAGTTATGAAATGAACACCGGTAACCATGGAGACAGACCACACTCTCATTATAGATACTGGTTATACGCAGATTGAGTAGATACTGGTTATAAATAGACCGAATAAGGAAAATGATCTGATAGCCTATGAAGAGTTAAAGGAATTGAACCAATGACAACAAATACTCGTCCAGCACACGAGTTGTCATAGCAACACAAATGACAGCTGTCCACTATTTTTGTTGTTGGAGATTGAGTAGGAGTTTTTACTGGTTGATTCTAAATACAATAAATGAGGAGGCCGAGGGTTTATGACCAATAAAAACTATTATAAAAACCGAGGTCCCCCGAGGTTTAATTATAAAAACCGAGGTTCCCCGAGGTTTTTATAATAGTTTTTATTGGTCATAAACCCTCGGCCTCCTCATTTATTGTATACATAACCTATAGGGTATACATATTCTGCGTAAGCAAAGCTGTGGACGCAGCATACTGCTTCTACACTTCAACGCGAGAATGCGTATAATAATATTAATAATAGTAATAATTGTGAAAGAAGAAGGACAAAATGTTACGAGTTATGACTAACTGTCCACCAACGTAACCAAATCTTATACAGTCAGCAAGTGCGACAAAATGGCACAAAACTGACAAGGAGTACTGAGACATTCGGCGACCTGACACCTAGCTCCAACACTTCTCCAAGGCGCAAACCAACAACCTTCCAACTTGGAAGGCTCAGGTTCGGCCCGGAAAGGTCCAAGAGGGGACGGAAAGCGCAACGAAGAAGAGCACGAGCTACGCATCACGGCAACAAAGAAAACCTTTCCGAACCTGAGCATTCCAAGTTGGAAGGTTGGTGGTTTGCGCCTTGGAGAAGTGTTGGAGCTAGGTGTCAGGTCGCCGAATGTCTCAGTACTCCTTGTCAGTTTTGTGCCATTTTGTCACACTCGCTGACTGTATAAGATCTGGTTACGTTGGTGGACAGTTAGTCATAACTCGTAACCTTTTGTCCTTCTTCTTCCACAATAATTTAATTGGCTCACCATCCGAGTTAAATATTGCACACCTGATGAGCCGTCATGACCTATACGGCGAAACATACGTCGTGTGGAACTACTTGTTATTGTACATAACTAGTCCATCATACATGATAGTAGAGTTCAGTAGGATGTAGACGTTTTGGTTTGTCACAATTCGTCTTCGCTTAGCTTCCCCTTTCTACGTTTATTACATAAACTTGAGCCTCCCAAGTTGGGTGGTCTGTTGCTTTGCAACGTCGAGTTGTAGGAAGGCCGGTATGTCCAATAGTGCGACGTTAAATAAACTTCTACAGTCTTACTAGTTTCGTCATCATCCAGTAACTGTCGGCATTCTTTCTTGCCGTGATGCGTAGCTCGTGCTCTTCTTCGTTGCGCTTTCTTTCCCCTCTTGGACCTTTCCGAACCTGAGCCTTCCAAGTTGGAAGGTTGTTGGTTTGCGCCTTGGAGAAGTGTTGGAGCTAGGTGTCAGGTCGCCGAATGTCTCAGTACTCCTTTTCAGTTTTGTGCCATTTTGTCGCACTCGCTGACTGTATAAGATCTGGTTACGTTGGTGGACAGTTAGTCATAACTCGTAACATGTTGTCCTTCTTTCACAATAATTTAATTGGCTCACCATCCGAGTTAAAAAATAATAATAATAATAATAATACGAAGTAGTGGTTGCAACTTCGGCGATGATTTGTAAGAAAGGTTTGCTCCCCACACCGTCCAGGAGCGACACTGACTCACGCTGCTATCTGGTGTTCACGAGGTGTTTATCGCGCTGGAAGCGGAGCGTCTCTGTAAGTTTGTGTCCCTGGTGATGTTTGTGCCTGGAGAGCACTATATAAGTGGTGCTCTTCAGGCACAATCTTCCTCAGCCTACTCAAGCTCAACTGATGAGGGGTGAATTCCCCGAAACACTGTGTATTGAGCAGGGAGTGGTGCTTTCTTGCAGGTTTGCCGAGTCGAAGGTTCGATGGACTTCTCGTGTGCTCTGGATGGCAGTCGTGAGTCAGTCAAGTGTCAAGTAAAGTCGGCGGAATAGCGCGAGCTCCGGTGTGGGGAGCAAACCTTTCTTAATAATAAGAATAATAATATCTCTATAACTAAATAACCGACGAGGAGACAACAGTCGTAAAATAGCAATGAAAAATATCAATATACATGGTTATACATGGTTATGAGTGCACAATTGATATTTTTCATTGCTATCTCTATAACTAGTGAAGATTTTATGACTTGGAGCTCCCCGTGTGCTAGAGTGTACGTGAAGTGTGTGGGTACAGTGAGGGCTGCGTCCCACCCGCCTGTGTGGATTCACAGGAAGTGTGAGTTACGAAGTCTGAAGAAAATGTTGAACAGTCTCTGCTGGGATGACGACTACACCATAGCTCAGTGGTTAGAGCATCGCTAGCTACAAGCGAGGGTCCCTGGTTCGAGTCCTGGTGGTAACAGTCAATTTTTTTTTCAGACTTTTCCCGTTTGTCTCTTTCCCTCAAACAAGTGAAGATT